CCGAGTACCTGAGGGAACACGAAATATACGTGACGACTAAAAGTAACAGGTATGCAGCAGTAATAAAAAATAGGGCACTGTGGAATTACATTAGGTATGATGTTGTGAGAGGAATATGGAAAGGGGTCATGGTTCCTGGGCTGACGTTCAGCAATGCGGTCTTGTGCATGAGATCAGAAGTTCAAGCAAGATTAGAAATTAAGCAACGTGGAATAGGTAGGCTTGCTTTAGGAGCTCACGGGAATACACCGAATCAGGGAGTATAAGGTGATATGGGATGGACATCATTTGAGGGCAGGGAAGCTAGAAGCAAGATAAAATTTGAGAAGCGATTGAGAGAAATCAAGGAGGAGCGTTGGGCTAGGAAGGTTTTCAGCTACTTGTACATGAAGAATGTCGATACAAAATGGAGGAAGCGAACCAGGAAGTTGACTGGTAAATACTTAGAAAACAGCAGGTGGCCAAACAAAAAAAAAAACTATCTGTTAAGAAGAAAGTGAAGGAAACGGAGACTGACATGTGGAAAATGGGCATGATTAAGAAGTCCGCACTAGAGATCTATCGAACTTTTAAGCAGGAAATTGCCAAGGAAAGGATCTATGATAATACTCGGGGTAGTTCTCTACTGTTTGAGGCAAGGACGAGAGTACTGCGAACCAACACATATCGGGCCAAATACGAAGGGGTAGACAAAGTATGCAGTGCGTGTGGAGAAGAAGAGGAAACAACCGAACACTTGATAATGTTCTCTAAAGGGCGTCACCCTATAGTTCAGGATGATGGCACAGAGTTTTTCAAAGCACTGCGATTTAGGGACAGGGAGGGCAAAATAGACTTTAAGCGGGTAGAATTAACTAGAAGGAGGTTATTTGATGGTGGCTAAAGTCAAGTCACGGGGGAAATTGAAACCCTTCACTGCAAAGTACGAGTCCTCAAACTCATTTTTTAAGGAAAAAAAATAAATAAATATAGTTTTGGGTTCATTAAGTATTACGGCTTGGTGGCGCTAGCCACCGCCCGATCTAAAGGGTACAGCCATATCCATCCATCCATCCATCCATATGATGAAAAAGATGCTAGATGGTGGTACTTGGAGTGTTGAATAGATGGACGAACGGACACACAGACAGATGCATGGATGGACGCATGACCGGACGCAGGGGCGGATGCATGGACAAACGCAGAAACGGACGCACGAACAGGCGCACGCACGGACGGGCGGATGGACGCATGGGCGGTCACACAGACGGACGCATGGATGGACGGAAGCAAAAACGAATGGACGGACGAATGCTTCGCCCCACTCTCCATCATTCACTCCGTGGATATGCTGCCAATTTTTTTGCACCCTTGCTGCTTAGCACGAAAGTTTAGGGCACGGGTGGGGCAGTTTATTCGGGCAGAAAACACAACAGGAATTGAAAACCTAGTGGTCACCTGCTAAGGCTATAGCTCAGCTTGTGTATATGAGGCACCATCTGTGGTTTACCGCGCTACCTTTCTCTCGAGTGCAGTTTCTGAGTGCTGGTAGTCAGCTTCCGTAGCATAGATTCAGCAACGGCATGCAAGACCATCCGAGGAAAGCCAGCCTTCTCGAGTCAGCCAATTGGATTACCTAGGCTGGTCTGCATCATGTGTGGACACAATCTGTGCTGCGCGGATTAAAATCAATGCAGGGCAATGCTACGTTTTATAATCTTACAATGCGCGGAATCACATGGCAAAAGCTCTTTTATTATCTTTTATTTCCTGTCAGTCATGTAAGCATCACTAACATGATCGCTTTTTCCGACAAGGTTAGTGTCTAAAAACTGCAAAATCTTGTCAGTTAGAAGCTCATGAGTGAAGTTAGTCCTTTGGAATTGGTTTTCAAGGCATTTGAAATAAAGTCTACCATTTCATGATTGGGCACAAGTACAAGGCACGTCTTCTCTGAAACAAATAAATATAGTCAGCATATCTAGGAATACAAAACTGATGTGATGAATTAGAAACACGTTATAGCGCCTGATCTAGAAGTGACAACAAATGGCGCATTAAATCGTTGAAGTGAAGTGATGGGAAGTTTATTTTTTCCTTTCACACAAAGGGGTAAGCCGGGGCTAAAGGCTCTAATGCCTGACAAAGGCCTCAGCTCCCTTGTACAGCATGACTTAAATAAACGAAAACACGTAATTGCAGAGTTAGCTGCATTTTCCAGTAAAACACAACGCTGCTGTTAAGCATACAGCGTAGATAAGATACAAAGCGTTATAAAGAACACAAACTGATACAATATACAAAATTATACAAAACACCAATCAGACCCGAGTAAATATTTCTTTGCTTTTTGAATAATTTCAACGCACCAACAGAATTATCATTCATCATAATTATAATCATAGCCGCAGTTACTTGATACTTTATTTTTCTTTGCCATAGTTTGTGCGTGTCTTAGGGACTAGGTGGATTTGTTTTCGAAAGTGGTAGGCATTGTTAGACGAAGTGAAGTTCTGAGTGTGTAGTTTATTGTTATTAATATACTGCAACAGTCGAAAGAGGTAGACTTGGTTCGATTTAAGCAAGTCGTAAGTACGGAACAATGGCAACCTCGAAAAATTTTTGGCTCTGCCACGGCACCCATGAAAGCACCGCAAAGGTCTTTTTTGGAGTACTAATAGTTTGTGATAGCTAGTAGGCACATTCGTTCCCAATACGCGAATACAATGGGTTAACTTAGAATGCACAAGCGCATATTACATCAGCAGTCTTAAGCACACAGGTACCTGACAAGCTAATTTGTAAAAACAGCCAACACTTTTACCTATTTAGGATGTTAATTTTGACACAAGTGTATTTCAGGAGAGGTACTGGTGGAACCAAACACTAAGAAATGTATTGCAATCGACCTCATGTATTCTTACCCGTCCAAACTGGATACGGGCCTTATAGGGATCAGCAGTAATAATTGGCCTAAAAATGATGTACCTTGTTTTGGATGAATTTAAAGAAAACATGTTGCATTGTAGCCATGACTGCAAGTCTCTTAAGTACCTGTTTACCGTATCCTCCGCTTGTACAAGAGATTTGGCTGTAGAAATATGTTCGTGTTATCCGCGAACAGAATCTTGTCATGAGAGACTTGTAGTTTAGTAATGTCATTATTATATAATAAATAGTATAATGCTCCTAATATAGAGTCCGGAGGGACTCAACAAGTGACAGCTACTCTGGACCAGGTGCTACACAGGACCCGATCCAAATTCCTTTGTTTTGCAAATAAATGCCACCTACAAAGAAAACGACTGCACTTTAAAAGTACGCTTCTAGAACAGTACGAAAATTAGGTACCAACATTTCAGCCCGAGCAAGAAAATCAGCCTCGCCGCTTTCTTCACTGAAGGAAGGAAGGAAAATAGGAGAAAAAGAACGGCACGGAGGTTAACCAGTCTATTGGCAGCCGATTTGCTACCATACGCATGGGAGGGGGATGGGGGAGATGAAAGATAGAGAGGTGAGAGGGATAAACACAGCACATTCGGCAGAACACGCGCGCACACTCAGTCATTGTGCATAACTTAACAGCAGCATAGTGATCAGTATGTGGAACTGAATTAAAAAGACCATTCACATCAGCAGAAAAAAGATACCTAGTGTTAACAACAGAATATTTTATATACTTTATATAGACCGGGAAAACGCAATCGGGATAGCGTGCACAACGTACAGATCAGTACATAACTAGATGGCTAGCTGGCATAGCACATAGTGTCCATAAATGCCAATTACATCGCAGCAGTGCCACGACCGGCGTTTTATTACATGTGCCCACATTTTTCGTGACAGAAAGGGACTGCTTGATTGATATGTACGGTTTAACACCCCAAAACTACCATATGATTATGAGAGACGCCGTAGTGAAGGGCTCCGGAAATTTCGACCACCTAGGGTTCTTTAACGTGCACCCAAATCTGAGCACACGGGCCTACAACATTTCCACCTCCATCGGAAATGCAGCCGCCACCGCCGGGATTCGATCCCGCGACCTGCGGGTCAGCAGCCGAGTACCTTAGCCACTAGACCACCGCGGCGGGGCAGAAAGGGACTGCTAACCATGGCACTGTGAAATTCCACCATATTGTCAAATTTTCTAACAATGGCGTTTTAGGCCAATCAGACAGGCCGTCTCAGCTCTCTGTGCCAATCATAGTTGACCAATGGTGGTATTCAACAACATCGTAACATTTGGGAGTGTCCAAAATATCCGCTAGGGTCCAGCAGTCTTTAATGTGTGGGAATCGTTGACGTGAACGGGATTCTCAAACGCCTAAATTCCCTGGTGCAGATGCACGTGAAACAATCGGCATAAACACGCGAGTGTCATGCGCCCTTTGAAGTGATTTCGTGCTCGCGTAATCGAACGTCGATACAGTGGCCCGTCGGCCGCGGATAAATTTTAGCGCATGGCAGCGGATATAGCACATACTGTTGCTATTTTAGGGAAGGAATTGAACGTGGTGTTTAACTTCACCCACTTGACTCCTCGTCACACCCGCACATTTCTGACTCGTTACTTAACGTAATGAAAACTCACTTACTACTCGGCCAATTCCTTGTAGTCTGTCCGTACCACTAACCGAGGAACATCATGTAACATGCCACACAGGCATAGACGTGGGCAGGAATCTCCATCTTGAAGAGGGGGACGAAGTTTTTCGCTATCTTCCTCCTGCTTTTCCGACTTGCCCGAAAGGGGTGCAAATTGGGCGATCCCACGCCATGGCGTCAGAAAGAGATTTTTAAGAAGCAATGACCGAGTGGAGATTTATGCAGAATGTTTGGCTTTTGATGAAGCATTATGAAACAGATTGACATGTTTTTGTAAGCGTGGCAGATGCGTGCACATCGTAGCCTTACCAGCCACGTTCGCGAAATGTTCGCTAAAGCCTTTCAATTTTCGTTTAGCAGAAACAAAGAAATACGACACAGTAGACAATGCTCTCAGACAAGTAAACATTTACCTTGTAAGTAGACCAGTTCCTAGCCAAGGCTTGATCAGCTCGTATTCATGGCCTTTCTTTAGTACCGTGTTACTCGTCAAAAGTTCCTGAAAAACATTGAGTCTTCAGATGTTGTGTTGCTCAGTGAGTAATGTGATCGTGAGATGTATTGATGCTTATAGTTACCTCGACAGCTTCTGCTTTGAACAGTACGAGTACAGGATGGGTAGCGTCGTAAAATCGAAACATGCCATGATTCTTGTAAATTCGGGAAAAACCAAAGGCTACCTGAAACAAATCTGCTTGCGCACATACAAAAAAATCGTGTCATAAAAGCATGTGGCACACAGAAAACATTGGTACCTCACGGACCTTCACGTCGCTACATGCAACTGAACGCAAGTAGCGCTAAAACACTTCAATGGGGTTACATCAGCCAGCGTAGACAGAAGATCCAAGGTTAACGGTTCACGCGGCTTCAACGAGACACTGCACGGTCGTTACCAAGGTAAAGCGGCAGTGGGGATCGTGCCAGCCGATTGAAGCGATAACAGATGAACACTGAAGCAAATGGTGGGAAGTAGAGCGAAGGACGCGTTCGGGGGAAACGCGCAGTTAGTGCAAAAGCTTACGGGTTGAGATGTCCAAACGATGCGCCTCGTTGGAAAGAGTCCGATGTATTGACCATGTGGTCACCAACGGGATGGGCTCCGTTCGACCGGGGAACTTTCCCATGTAGACGAGTGTTTCGCGTTGCTTGTACTTTATGTAGTACAACAGGCCTGCCAGGCAAGCAAACGCAGCGGCAGCAGCGGCCACGGAGTACAGCAGGAATGACGCGAGTAAAGCGGGTAATACATCGTGAAGCACGTGAAAAGCTACGGCATTCATCGTGCTGCTCACCACCTTGCAGTTAACGCCAGAGAGCTGAGCGGCGAAAGGCACTACGTTGCATCACAATTGTCATTGTGGAGCTCGAGCGAACTTCCGATAACGCATCCGTCAAAAGGGAGGGTGTGACAGGAGACACGCATGGGTCGCGGCGCCATCGCTCGGCTGATATTTCATCTCTTCTCGTGCTACAAAAGGTTGAGGGGGGAATGACGCACTGAGTCATGGGCTTGAGGCTCCCTCCCGATGCGGTCGCCTGAACTACGATACTCTAGACGTATTGCGAAGCGCCGCACAAATGGCAGTAGATGGGGCTCGAGTTACAAGCATTTGGCAAGATGGGGGTAGCATTTGTGCTGCGCAAGGCATAATATGCTTGTCACTCTTTTCCTGGAAGTTTACGTGGGATTGAGGCGGAAGTTTATAAACATCGGTAACTCGTCACTTGTGACCAAGTCACTCATTGCGTCGTATGTGTGGCATAAACCTTATAAAGGACTGTCAGGAATAAAGATAATAAATACTGCTCTAGTTAGAAAGGGTGTAAGGGAAGTTATCGTGTGTTAGCTGTGCCGGTTCTATTACTCCGTGCATGTGGGGACCATCGTGGTAGGAACAAAAGTGGACTGAAGTGCTATAGTTGCAGGGTTAGCACAGCTTTTATCTTGAGAATAAAGAATAAATAAAGAAAGAGAAGAGGAAGAAATTACAACTCTATGAAAAGCCATGGGTAGGAAAAATATGCATAATTGCTGCATAAACTTACAGGTGCACTGCATGGAAAGAGTACTTCCCGACAAACATCTCATGTGTGCATGCTGTTGCTAATTAGGATGACATCATCAATGCATTTCTGATGGGGTATCGAACTTCTGTGCAAACCAAAATATGTTTTTCTATATCTTTATTTCAAACTGAATTCTAACTATCTAAAACTGTCTTGCATCGTGATGACTACGCTATAGGTTACTCGCGTATGCGTGCGTTATTAGCCGATTATTTGTGATAAATACCAGGCTCATTAAAAGTTTTTAGAGAGTACACCTTTAGCTAGGCTCTTTAGTGTAAATATTGAAAGTGGTGAATTGAAAATCATTTGCAGAAGTTCACAAGATAAGGAACGGAATTTCGAAACAAGCCCCAGTTTTAAATTGAGCACCCCAAAACGTGCTTCAGTATGCCCTACTGATCCACTAACTCGTTCAACTAAACGCCTGTCAATATACGAAGTGAACTTAACCAATAAACTCTAGAAATCGAATAGGTCATTTTGAGAGGTGACTTGTAAAAATTGTGGTCAATGTCAGAATTCGCTGTCAGAATCATAAACCTTTTACTGGAATTCAAAATTTGATGCATCAAAATAGCCGTACTTGCACTTGTAAAAATTGTGGTCAATGTCAGAATTCGCTGTCAGAATCATAAACCTTTTACTGGAATTCAAAATTTGATGCATCAAAATAGCCGTACTTGCTTGGAAACCTATGCATTCCCTATACTTTGCCAATTTATAACAAATGCCCCGAATATGTGACTTGATAAAAGAAAACAATTCCTGCTTCGACACTTTTGAACAACAGAAGTTCATCTGAAAGAAATATATTCTCATACTCAGCAAAAAAACATACCTCACTGTGTTACCGGTTCAAGTGATGAACATTGCATGGGTATATGACTCCTAATCTATATTACATAAGCTCGAAGCGAGCGCACTATTTCAATATATAAGAGAATAGCTATAGTGGTGGGTGTACAGCATGCATGGTAAACATTAGGGGGTTTTATTGGAAAAAAACTCACTCAGGACGTAGGACAAGTAGCCATGAGAAAAACACTAGAACATGGCTTGGCATGAACTATTTTGGTGGTTTCTCCGCGTCTTAGTTGCAGTAATTCCTTTTTTCATAAAGTTTAACGTCTAAAAATTACGGTATAATTATTGGAGACACCGCAGGATTTCAGAAATTTTGACCACTTGGGGTCCCTCAACATGCACCCAAATCTATGTACACGAGCCTCGAGCATTTTTGCCCTAAATAAAAGTGTGGCCGCATTTTTTTATGAAGCAGCTCTGCGGGTCAGCAGTCAATTACCATAACCATTGGACCATGACGGGGGTGTTAGTTTCAGTCGTGTGCCACTGACGTGTTGCCCAAGTGTAGCACTGTGCGTATCTCTTCGTTGTCTCTCTTGTGTCCTGTTTCTCGGTGCTACCATGCTTATCAAAGATGTCACATTTCAACAAGCCCACTTTGCAAGTTTATTCAGGAGTCAAACCCACGGCCACCCTTGTGTTTATGAGCAAAACACCGTATTATTTGTGTGTGTGTGGGGGGGGGCGGCTACTACTACAAGCTAGAAACTCAGCCTTCACCCCATCCCCCCAAAACATAAGGAAATAAAATAAAACTTCCCAACACTTCCAAGCGACTCGACCACCTCACTCGAAGAAACAATGTCTGCGAAATGCATTAAGCAATATTGTAGCGTCTAGATTATCTCAAATGCCTCCAAACGTCAGCTGATAGCTGCTATCAACAAAGTTGCGAGGCAGTGTGTTATCGGGCCGAAAGTGAAAAAAAAACATATACTTTGTTTTTTTTCGGTCCTAAATCGCAGACAGTGCTTGGTGCTTTGACACGAATGCAAGGACCTTCAAGCAGGAAACATAACGTCCTAAACAAATATTCTTCGACCCTTAAGTCGTCCCGCTACTATTCATGCAGCGGGCTGCGTTCGCTGCATGCAGTCCGCAATCGTCGGCGGAAGCAACCACCCGTTGGCAAGGTGAGCTAATTTAAGCTTGCGTTCACCTTCATTCTTTTATTTTTGCGCTGCATGAATGCGAGATATTCTGCAGCTCACCCCGGGCGCTTTTCGGTTCTCTATAGGTAGCTTTTTTTTTTTTTGACCTCGTCCAGGTCTGTTTAAATGAGCGACCCTGAATGAGAGCACGTGTCTCTCACAGCGAGCGCCGGAGTTTAAAAGTCCGAGTGTGAACACGCAAAAATGACACAGGAGACGCGTTCTGCATTGTACTTCGTGGCGGCAATGAATCGTACACTCAAGGTGAAAAAAGAAGAAACGCACTCCGTCAAAATTGTTCTTGAGCAAAGAGCCAAATTTTTTCTCCATGGACGCACGCCCTAGTGAGACAAAGCACTTTGCTGCTATGGACGTACATCGCTATCGCTAATAATGTGTATGTGTGTTGTGTGCCGGTGCGTGTGCTTATGTGTGTGGTGTTTGCGTGCGTGTACGTGCGTGTGTGTTTGTCAGTGTGTGGGACAAAGAGAGAGTGGCTTTTTTTATTTGCACTCTTGTATACTTTACTACATATGGTATTGCATAGGATCAGCCATGCTGTCTTTTTCATCATGACAATATTACACTTAGACAGGAACACAGCAGTGTTGAAGGAAAGCAATAGCTCTAGGCGCGAATATCGGGGTTCAACCCTCCCCCGAAACTCTTCAATTTTGCTTGCGTATATACACGCACACATACAAACCGATGTACGAACAGACATAAAGTAAGGTTGAACGCCCCCTCCCCCCCTTTCGAAAAAAAATCTGGCAACACCCCTGAACAGAGCATAGCCTCTATTCTGTATGAAGAGAAAAAAAATGAACTGGTCCTGTTAGCTATCATTATACAAGGACAGAAAATGTATAATGAAAAGGGAAGCGTAGTCGAGGATGGCAGGGAATTTGGTGGTGCGATGATATAGTTACCAATTCTTATTAGATGAAATTGGATCCCTCAATACTGGAGTAGCTGCTTATATGTTAGAATAGGCCATCGTCCAGCAGTATGCAAGGTGATGATAATAAATACCAGCATAATCCTCTATGACGCACCATAAATAGCTTTGGTGTAAAAAAGAGGACGACTGATCCTTTTGTACAATATCACTTTTAAACGGCTCTGTGGACTGCATCTGTCTTTTGAGTTATCGCTGGCATGAGCTCACAAGTTTGATGTGCGATCACAAACTCTCGAATACGATCGCATTGTAAGCAATGTTTTGTACAAGGGATGCCATGCAAATCTAGCACATTTATTTATTGCTAGAAAATATGCTCCCGTTGTCAATACTGGACAGTTTGTGAAGTGAATTATTCGTTTTTGTTATTCTGTCATATTAGGAGATGTCGATGCTTTTGTATTTAAAACACCGGCTACTGCTTTTCACGGGTGCGAAAATGACAGCAACGAAAAACAAAAGACCATAAAAAAAGAACATATGGTAGACTTCTATAGGCCCATTCACATAATAGAACAAACAAAAACATTATAATGAGTCCTGACACATAAAAGCAGAGTTATCAAAAGATGCAGTTGTACATACGCCATATATGCTGTAAAATAATACTAGACAACGTCCAGTCACATATATGTATTGAAGTGAAGGAAGTCCAGCTATAAGGCGCAGAATGAGTTCCGACGTCGAGTGACACGAAGGCGTGGTGCTACAATGGTGCATTTATTGCACGACAGCGAAGAGCTTCTTCGCGAAGCCTCAGCAGCATGTAACCTACCAGTGAACTAGCCAAACGGTGTTTTAAAACCACATCATTGCCGACATTAGAGGTCCACGGCTGTCAAAGGTTCACCATAAAGTAATGAAAACCCTTCGAAGCTTCTTTGAAGCCATGTGAGTTTTCGACGAGTGCTGAATTAACTGCATGGCTTGCGTATATTGTGCTGCTTTTTGGTGAACAATAGTGGCATGTTTTAAAACGAGAATATTTTAACTTTGGCACGTTTTGCATATGTGTGTGTATTACTTGCTTAAATTTTGTTGTAATCGTAATAACCAAGCAAAAATGCATACTTTAGTCACCATTGCCAAGAAATGGCGACAACTCCTTCATTCATTTTCATTTCAGTGAAAAAGATCATTAGCGATAAACATAGCACGTACCACGGTGTACATGCTAGCAGTCAACGGTCCGACTAAGCACAAGCACGCAGAGTTGGTCTCACTTTTTTCGGTTTGTCCGCTTTACCACATAGTCTCACCGAGATAAATCCCTCCGACTCATCCTGCTTTGTACGCTGCTGACTATCCTGAGCCTAATAAGTTCGCTGTTGACTTTTTTGC